AAACTTTAAACAAATTAGCAGCACGAAAAACGGAGGAAGGAAGGAGGAGCTAGGGACAGTGAAGAAGATTACCACTTTTGTGTACCTCAAAAGTGTCTTTTTTGTGAAAAAGATATTCAAACTCTGATCATCTTTTGCAGAATAATTGAGGACCTTATTTATTCAGAAGAAATGGGAAGACAGACTGACAGAGGCAAATGTGAAAAGAATATCATAAGACTACACAGTTGTGTGTGTGACATATATATACACTAATATGGTAATTTGTAAAGTAAAAAACGAACAGTAATATTGGGGGTGGTGAATTGGTAGGTGAAAAGTGTCGGCACTCACAAACTTGCAAAAGCAATGTAAAAACATTAATTACATGTTTACAGCGAGTTCAGAGGGAGGGTCAGATTCAGATTAACAGCATGTTCTATTTTTGTCGTATGTGAATTTTGCCATTTTTTTCTTTATTTTCTGAAATGAAATCGTTTTTTGTGTGCATAAATTGCCAGAATTTAATACCAAGATGCATTTAAGACAGTATGTTACAGGTTTGAAAAGATAATTTAACATGTTCATTTTTTTTTTTTATTTTTTTTTTTGGAACGATAAAGGATAAAATTAAAACTTAAGATCAAAGTAGAACCGATCAATCAAATGGTATCAAATGTCTACTTCAAACAACAGACCTCGAAGTAGATTCCCCCGGGATATCAACAGAGATTACCCCTAACAGCCTCATTGGCTAAATTCCTAGACAAAGAACACAAACCACCAAACACAAAAGAAGAAGAAACAACATTAGAAGCTAAAAATAAAATATATATCCTCTACAAAACCATCTAAATTTGGAGAGAATCCAGCTCCAGAAACCAGTTTGTGCAGCACGTCCATTTCGGAATATCCTCTACAAAACCTTCTTTGGGTTTGCAGCTAAGAATTCTCCCAAGACACCTTTGCCTTTTCGACGAAGTCGCTATCGGGCACCCTCTCCCTGTTAAAAACCCACCCATTCTTTGCTTTCCATAAGCCCCAAACTAAGTATCCTCCCACCAAACCAACCTTCTACCATTGTCTAACCACAACTTTTCAAGTCTCATTTTTCCTTCTCCAATTGACTCCAGGATAGGCCATATTATGTTATACCGGTTAAGTATCAGTTGCTCGACCGGACCGCGAGTCGAGCAGCCTACATGTCGATTTACACCAGCACGTCTCCGACCGACTTTTTATACAGCCAAGGCAGAGAAAGTCGACTTCCACAAGTCGACCCTGCCCCATCATAATAGGAGAAGTCGGCATCTAGAAAACAACTTCCCTAATCGACTTATTCAAGGAAGCTCCATTAAGAGGACGAGGACAATTCAGGAACGAACAAGTAAAGTCTCTTGATATATCCCTGCACGGGAACCCCACGACTCGTGTGAGCCCACACGACCCGTGTCATTGAACCACACGACTTGTGTGGAAAAGTCAAAGCTAAATTCATCCTTTTCTCCCTCCACACAACTCGTGTGTCTTATGTACCACCTCACATGAGTCAAGTGGCATCTTGCGCGCCTCATTTTCGCCGTTTCTTGTGACTCCATTTTTATGCTTTTTCACGTGAAAAATTCCTCCATCATATATTAAAAAATCAAACGAAAAAACGCACAATTCAACAATAAACACGACCAAACACCATAATCTATCACTCATAATGCATGTAAATGTGACAAATGTCAATTTACCAAGGGTGATATCTATTCTGTTAGGTTGACATACTCGGTATTTTGGTAAGTGATGTTGTTTACATGATGTGTCATTTAGATTGTTTACGGTCACTGTCTCCAGGTCCACCAGGTTTATGATGTCCCTGAAATGAGTTCAATAAGGATTTTTATGTTAAACTCGGCCGGTGGATTAATTTCCTACCTAATAATAAAGAATTGGGTGGTACTATTTTCAGTTCAAGAAATTGATTAATTATATTGTCAATAATTAAATTAATCAATGGACGTTATATATTAAACCTGGGGAGATAAATTGAATAATTAGTCGAGAGACAAATTAATTTTAATTCCAAGCTAAATGGGGAGATCAATAACATTACTCTAGTGCAATCTTTTTTTATTTATTCAAATAAGGAATAAGGATTAAAAGGTCTTCTAAAATATTAACAGGAAGTATGATTTAATGTCTTTAGAAGGTAATAAGTAATTTAATTTTAATTATAAAGATAAATAAAATTATTTATTTATTTTGTATGTATAATATAGATGTCAAATCTCGTTAAGACATGATTGATCTGATATATTATATATAAAAAAAACTAATAAATAAAAAGGTATTAATTTTTAAATATATTTATGATTTAAGTTAGTAAATTTGTTATAATTTTAAAAGAAATATGAGGAAAACAAGAAAGATTAGGAAAAAAAATTATACCTTATAAATCACGTCTACAATAGAAAATGATATTAAAACATAATTAATGTTTTAAAAAAGGACTATAAATATCCATTATATTTATGGATATTCCAAGCCTAGTTATTTTTGGAATGAAAATAAACTAAAAATTCATTCATGCCAAACAACAAAGCTGCGCATAGAATCTCGATGCGTGCGAGCCTACCACACATTCCTTAATTATATATGTGGGTGATTTTCCAAAGCCATGCGTGTGCCTATAAGAGCAACTTTAACGGTAGGTTTTTAATAAGTTTGTAAACCTCACTTTTTTAACATTTACCACTAAAGTTGTGAGCTTTGAGGTTTAACATTACAACCCTGTGTTGAACATTCAACACTCACATAAACCTCACTTTTTGACCCCACACCTGCCAAACATGTTCCCTTTAGTCCTTTTTTTTATCCAGCGTACCTATTCTCATGTTTTCCTTCACATACAAAATATAATGTTTATTTTTTTATCGCCATATAATTTTTTATATTTTATATTATTGTAAGATTTATGTATAATAATTTTTTCTTATTATTGATTTTTTTTAAATTTTATCGCTATGTAGCTTTTTATATTTTATATTATTATAAGGTTTATGTGTAATAAATTTCACTTATTATTATTTTTTTTAGTTTTAATTGTGCGTAAAATATATTTATTATGATATATAATAAATATGGCATTGTAAAAAATTATGAGTAATGTTTTTAGTAAATATAAATTAAATTGAGATATAAATTAAAGTAAGTGGGAAACATGCGGAACCCACTAAATGAAGGTTTGTGAGGTTTATGGTTATTGGAGGTTTGTGATATTGAGAGTAAGAATGAGGTTTAGATGATGTGGAGTATTGAGAATGTAAAAAGTAAGGTTTATAGATCTTTACCATTAAAGTTGCTCTAAGTGTGTGGCATGAAACGTTAGGATGCTTGGATACAAAAATAAAAAAAAAAAATCCAAACATTTTTAAATCAACAATTTTTTTTAACTCAACTTTAACTTAACACTTTTATCATCAATATTATCTACATAATTAAATAATATCAATCAATCATTTCTACACACCACATCATCACTATTCATCCACTTACATAATTTTAACTAACCATCATTTCAAATCATCTCTCTCATACTTTTACATCAAATCAACTTTAATTATGTTATTTTAAATATTATTTTAATATTCCTACTAACAACTAATCATACCATTTTTTTCTAAATTAACAAAAAAAAAAAAAAATAAAACAACAAAAAAATTATATCCAAGCATCCCATCTCACTTGCCCGATTAAAGATGGGATACATATACTACAAGACACTTTACGGGTGACTACATATTTTGACAATTCCTTTTGAAACAAAAACTCCAATTGATAATCTAATTTTTATTTTCAATTCAAGTATAACTGATTGGTAATCTATTTTTTGTTTATAAAATTAAATATGATTATTTTATATTTTATATATACAATACGAATAATCTATCTTTTATTTTTATTTCAAGTTCAATTGATTGATAATCTATTTTTTGTTTATAAAATTAATTATAATTATTTTATATTTTGTATATGCAATAAAATTGCAATATCGTATTAAAAAAAATTACCAAATAAAAAAGTTAACATTTTTATAAGTTAAGTTCACTACAGCTTTCATAATATGGAAAGTCCTAGCCGTAATAAACTTTATTCATATCTATAATCTACTACAAGAAAGAAACTTTTCCGTAGTTCAACACTTCAACTACATTAAAATTGACAGTTACTTTTGAAACAAAAACTCCAAATGAATGTACCAACCTTTCCGATAACTTCATTAAAATTGACAATTAGTTTTGAAACAAAAACTCCAATTCAATGTACCACCTGGTTCAAAATTTCCAACTACCTCAGCTTGTACGTCTGTTGCTAAAGATTCAATCTTTGATTCAACTAGCAAACAATTATATATATATATATTATACTACAAAGATAACACAGTATAAACACNACCACCTGGTGCAGTTTTTCTGTTTGTTTATTTGCCTATTTGAACAGAGTAGCTAATCACCACAAGATTCGCCTTTTCGCGTACTTTACAAAACTCATAGTAGTATACGAAGTGGGTGTGCGAACAAAGTCTGAGTTTTTAGCAGAAATGGAGGTGTCGCTGCCCTTAGCCGGAGATGGCTGTCTGGTTTTCGAGGTCAACAGGGAGAGGTTCGAAATAGACGAGATTGACCCCTCGACCACCTTATTCGAGTTCTTGCGCAGGAGGACCCGTTTCAAGAGTGTCAAGCTTGGCTGCGGTGAAGGTATGTGTATGTATGTGTGTATATGTATTTTATGTGATTTTTCAATTAATGTAGATATCCTCATATATGGTTGTGATCAAGGCGAAGCCAGAATTTAAACTTACCCGGGATAGAAGGATGTCAAATCGTATATAAGTTACGACATATAAGATATCTTTTTGCGTAGGTTTTCTGTTAGGCAGCCTAATGGCAAGACAACCATATTTTTTAACACATGTACATATATTTATATTTATATATATATAGAGAATAACTATTTACTATAAATTGTAAGCAAAAAGTTTGCCAAAATTAATTGCATATCATTTTTGAAAATTTTTGAATTAAATGCAATCATTAATTTTAAATTGATAAGTTGCATAAATCTCGGTCTGTAACAACTTTTTAATTTTTTGTATATAGCAAATAAAAATGTGTACAAAATACAATTTATTTCAAATATTTCTGTATTTAGCGTATAAAATTCTTTATCTAACAACTTTCTTTTCAAATATTTTTGTATGTTCTGTGTATCATAATTTTTAATATCTCAATATTCTATATAACTTTTCTATCATAAAAGTCATAACGTCTAATACTATTTTTGCTAAGAATAAAATATTTTATATACTTTTATACATATATTTAAAATGATAAGTCGTATGAGTACAAAATCATCTCAATGTTTATTTATATTACCATATATATCCCCTCATAAAATTCAGCACATACTTTTCAACATTTTTTTTACACATGTTATGGATTAAGATATGCATCTAAGAATATATATAGATGTTAAATTTCAGTGTTCTTAGACATGTTTTTCTTTCAAAATAGTTTAGACAATTTTTAGGTGATTTTACATTTTCCAAATATAATATAGAAGATTTTAGATATTTTTACATATGTTATATAATATTTTTGAATGTTTATAAACTTTTAAACATACATGATTTATGTTCTCTATACAAGATAATTCTATACTATTTACAACAAACTGATAAACGTTCATGTTATGGGGTATATTCATTTGGGATTTCTAAAATTTTTTAAACTTTTAAAAATTCCGGTATATTTAATTTAGACTTAAAGTCTTGGAATACTCATTTGAAAATTTAAAAAGTCTTACAAAATCCTTAAATATTTAACTTATTTGAGATTAGAATTTGTTATGACTTTTTAAGATTAAGATTTCGTATTATTCCTCTAAAATCTGAACATCTTAAAAAGTCTCAAATTTTAAAAAATTTCAAAGTGTCACTCAAAATTCTAAACGAATACACATTATTTAATATTATTTACCTATATCTTTAATTTTATAATTATTATTTAATATTTTTTACCCGTGCATCGCACACGCTACGTATTAGTTAACGATTAACTAACATAATTTAAATTTATAAGCAAAAATATAACATTTTGTATAGTATAAATACAAATTTTTTTAGAATGTATGAGTACCTAATGATAGGCAGTCAAACATCATATCTATTTAAGTATATGTTCAAAAAGATTTTCATTAAAAATATATTCATACATCAAAACAGTTCAGGAAAACTAAAACTTTCAAGGTTTAGATAAACAAAGCTATTAAAACCACTTTTTTTTTTTATTATGAAGTTAAAAACCAAAAACTTAAATTGTCATAAACCATTCAGACAATAAAATTAAAAAAATAAAATAAAATAAAAAGAAACAAAAGTAAAAATTAACATCAATATTAATTTGAAGTGATTATTACATGATGGGTTAGATTTATAATGCATGTTTGCTTGGTGAGATTAGACAGGATATCCCGCTTAAACTAGACTTAATCCTGCGTTTGGTTCATGGAACCAAAGTCCGCAGGAATCCCATCGGCCCGGTATAAAAATGGCTTAATCCCTCGTACATGGGATAAAATAATCCCATGAAATAGGTGGGATTATTCCTATCCTGTTGTAGTAAATTTCTATTTTACCCTCATTTTAATAATTTTTGGATTGATTTTAATTTATTTGAAAGGGGTAAAACAATATTTTACACCACCTACACATTTTTTTTTATTTTTTAATTTAAAATTATCCTACCCCCTTATCATATATAACAAACGCAGGAATAGTCCAATTCCAACAGTACAATCCTTCCCCATTGGGCTAAATTAGTCCAATCCCATCCTGAAAAGCAAACAAGGACATAGAGTATAGTATGAATTTTTAATTATTTAAACATGGCAAAAATATAAGAAAGAAAAAATTTTATACAAATAATGTATGGATATGTCATATGTACTCATATAGTATGGGTTGTTTTGCGATTTTTGTGATGGGTTGTTTTTCTTAGGTAGCTTTGTGTGATGCCCCAATTTTTAAAAGATATTTTGGATATTTTAAAGGGCGTTAACAGAGTTCGAAAATCTTTATAGTCTGAAATCTCTAAGTTTTTCATATGAATTTTTCGAAAACGCTTGTCATTCCTCAGCATGTTCATATCTTAACTCATAATCCAAGTCAATTAAATGGGTAAAACATCTCATCGTTTCAAATCAAATAACATGCTAGGCAATTAAACCAAATCATAAGAATAAGTCTCAAAAACCATAAAACATATATAAAAATATTCGATATACGACCACTTCACAGCCCGTGTCCCGACGCCAACTCGATCAACCTGAAAGGGGACAATGAGAGGGGTGAGCAAACCACTAGCTCAGTGAGGACATTCTAAGCAATTAACCTTTAATAATATGTATCAATATCGTGGTACTCATATCTCAAACTGAATCATGATACTAGAACCTGTTATATATGTGTCATAAACATCTTGCACGAACGCCAAGACGGCCAACTTAGAACTTGAATTTGACGTTGCATGACCTGTGGGTAATTTGTACCGTCGCACGACATCATCCTGAAACATTACTATGTTGTCTCACAACCTGGGGATACTTCGTACCGTCGTAAGACGTCATCCTAAAACTTTAATATGTTGTCGCACGACCTAAGGATAATTCATACCGTAGAACGATGCCACCCTGAAACATTACTATGCCGTTGCACGACCTAATGGCACTTCGTTGCACGACGTCATCCTGAAACTTTACTATGTCGTCGCACGACCTGAGGGTACTTCGTACCGCCACATGACGTCATCCTGAAACTTTACTACGGCGCCGCACGACCTGAGGGTATTTCGTACTGCCACACCGAAGTCATTCAGAAACTTTACTATGTCACCGCACGACCTGAGGGTACTTCATACCGTCGTGCGACCTGAGGGCGCTCATCTTATTACTTAATTATGGCGCCGCACGACTTGAGGGCGTTATGCCGTCGTTCGCCCTGAGGGCGTTTATTTGGATCTTAATTATGCCACCGCACGACCTGAGGGAACCTCGTGCCGTCGTACGACCTGAGGGCTTTAATACTTTGGCTCGTCGACCCATAAGTAATTTTCTTGCCCGAAGGCCATATAATA